CATTTCTTTGTACAAACGGAACAATATTTAATCAAGCAGAATTTACATGCGATTGGTGGTACAACGTCAAATGTCATGATTCTCCTGCCTTATACAGGTGACTACTATTTTTATAAATTATATTATTCTAGGTACATTAAAAACCGCAAATATATTTTAACTTTTCAGATTAAACTTGGACCCCTACAAAAATCCTTACTTCTCGAAAGCTGCGTTAGAAAACGACAACAAACTGTTGGCTCAGCAAAAATCACAGTATTAATTTTAATGTTTTGTTGGATTATATATTTTAAATGTTCAGAAAATTGGAAACAATATAAATTTTTGATACTCTAAATAAGTGTTTCTATTATACAATATTTAGTATTTTTCTTTTGAAAGTTAAATAAATAAATAATTCGTGGTAATTATTATATCGAACTTAAAGTAATTATAAGTTCTGTTAATGGTTTCTAGGTCACGTCGGTAGTTTATTGAAAATTAATTGTACAAAATATTTTTGTTATGTAGGTATTATACGTTAATATGTTAGAATTACCTCATGACATACTTTCGTTACGAAAAACAAGTTAATAATAACGGGGAAGTCTGCACATTTGCGAGATCACTTTTCACATTTATACTTTGTATAGCGACGATAATAAAAGAATGAAAATAACATGTCAGAATGATGGTCGTTATCCTCAACAGTCAAACGTAACTAACTATTAACAAAGAAAAGAAACGCACAATTAAGTTTACTTTCAACTTTCATGTTTCCACAGGCTTGACACAAAGTGGTAGCATTACAACACCCGCTGACATGAATAAAACTATCTTTTAATAAAATTAATAATTTTACGAAAAACAAACACATGATAACAACGTAATTATCTGAAACTAATACTCAATTTTGGATATATCACTAAAGTTTTTGTCAAGTATTAGGTATTAATGAAATTATAGCAACATTCATATGAATATATGCAAAGATTTTGAGCATTTTTAACAAATTATTAAGAAGAAAACTAAAAAAATACATCAGCTTATTTTTCGTTGTGGTATAATTCATTTACTGAAAGTACCAGTGGTTTTCTTTTCTTTTGAGCGATTGAACTTAAAACGGTACAAGAGTAATCCATTGTAGATATCAAAGAAAGTTGTGTGGGAGACATAATTGCTTCAATATANTTAATGGTCACGAACCATTATAATTTGTTTAAATTTATTTATTATGTAGCTATACCATAACAGTTTATAAGTTTACACCAGATCGCCATATTCATGACCATTATAATTTGTTTAAATTTATTTATTATGTAGCTATACCATAACAGTTTATAAGTTTACACCAGATCGCCATATTCATCGTGCGCGTTTGTTGATTTTTAGCACCCCCTATGGTCCACAATTAACATTAGATTTCGGCAACCATTTTGAAAAATCGACGAACACCTTACGATATCACGTATAGAGGCCGCAAGTGATTTTATTTTTAAATGAATTTAAATATGTACTTATTTTTTTATACTGTATACTCACTAGCTACATAAATAATCATATTCTGCATTTAACTCAATTATTATAACATTAGAAATTAAGAGAAATAATTTGAACCGAATAATTCTTCTGATTGGTACTTTCGGTTACTTTTCTCTGCTGCGGTTCTTCTTTTGATTTTTCAAGAGTAGATTTTATAGATAAGGGAATCCCTTGGTTTTTATTTAGAGCCTCCACCGTTTGAATCATGATTTCTTTTGTTTTTGGTTTTATTAATTCCTCTTCTACAATTATACTTTTCTTTGCTTTCAATATTTCCTCCGAAATATTAGTAGGTTGTTCAGTTTTTNGTAGAATCTCATGGTGTCAACGGTTTTCGAGTGCGATGTCAAATAGGCACTTTTAGTATTATTTTTGTTAACATATGTAAAGTAATTTCTACATAAAAAAGCGCTCGTGAAATTACTAAAAGATGGAAGGTATTTAGAAACCTAATAGAAATGAAAACTATGTAAAAAAGTACGTAGAATCTCATGGTGTCAACGATTTTCCAGTGCGATATCAAATAGGTACTTTTAGTATTATTTTAGCTTAAATATATAAAATAAATGAATCATAAAAACGCGCTCGTGAAATTATTCAGAGATGGAAGATATTTACTAGGCTTCCAGAAAATAAAATTATGTAAAAAACTACGTAGAATCTCATGGTGTCAACGGTTTTCGAATGTAATGCCAAGTAGGTACTTTTAGTAATTATATTTAGTCAAATGTATAAGATATGTTAAACATAAAAGCGCTCCTATAATCATTTATAGATGGAAGGAATTTAATAAGCTTTGAGAAATGAGAATTATGTAAAAAAGTACGTAGAATCTAATGGTGTTAATGGTTTTCGAGTGCGGTGTCAAGTAGGTACTTTTCCGGTGTTGTTCTTACTCAATATATAAAACATAGCTTAAACATGATAAAGCGCTCGTGAACTTATTGTACCAAATTACTTTGTTTTAAGTATTCATCTCAAACCCGCTCCTTTACCCTTTCCCTTTCTCTCTACAGGCAGGTTCGTTCCCTTCGCCAGCCTGATAAAATCTGTGCAATTTATGCATATGTATTTTCATTAGAAATTAAGCGACCAAAGAACAGTTTTGTATATTGTTTTTATAATGCACCCTTTTTCGAACAATTAGTTAGTTTTTCATCTATTTATTTGGTTATATATTCATTAGTAAAAAAAATGCATTACCATATTTTAAAGTCTTAAAGTACATTCTAGATTTTGCGTTACGAAATTTTTGTGGAGCTATTAGCTATTTTATTTATCACGTATTAACAATCGTTTTTCTTGTAAAGTAGAGCACAGATATATGCCTACATGTGCCAGCAGACCAACATTTATTTTATTATACCAGCATTATGCAATAATGTCTTTCACGTTTGTAGGCCTTAGGCATACTATACCAGTTCTTATACTAGTTTTACACGCCTAATAAAATCAAAAACCGTATGCATGCCACAAAGGGATTTTTCAATTTACTAAACTTATAAATTTTATGTTTTCTCTACAATATCAAGTTTTTGCAAACGGAATTCGAATACCTATGCACAGGAAGCTTTATAACTTATTTTCTGCTTTAAACAAACTAGATAGAGAAAGTGATCAAAAGTAAATGTCTCCAAGGTAAAAGTCAACCAAATGGGCACTGGTATTAAAAGTTATTATATCATTCGTTCCTAAGACATCGAATAGAATTGGTCAAAATGGCTCATTTGAGACAATTTTTAAGCGGCTTAATTTTGTTAACGTGTGTTATTGTTTCTTATTCAGTAACATTGGTAAGTTTTATTCAGCTTTATTACAAACTCTAGTTTTCAAGTCAAAATTGTAATTCAATTTTTTTAAATTAAAAACTAAATCAAACTTTTTGTGGGGACCAGGGGCGTTCAGAAACTATTAAAAAGAATTGTAACCATAATAAAAAAATTAATATTCAAATAAAAACAAATAATATTTATGTAGAAAGAAAAAACTTTTTAGGTACATATGCTATGTTTGTTTTTTATTAATTTACTGTTTTAGTTCATATGTTTTTGTTACTAAAGCAACTTACAGAACTGTTAAATTATTTTTTCAGTAGTAGTAGTACGTTGTATATTCTATATTTGCACACAGTTTATGTATTACATTTTTATGTACTTTGTCCCTAGCATGCAAAACTAAATGCAGTTTACATTATATAAAATATTACATGCATTTTTTGAAGTACTTAGTAAATATATAATTAGTTACATATTTTCAACATTTATAGAAAGTGCCTAGCCTTCATTAGTAACCAGTTTAACGATTTTTTTAGTACCAACATGGTGATTATGGTAATGCGTTTGCAACAGCTCTTAAGTTAAGGCAATCAGAACGAGAACAAAAGCAGGATTTTAGTAAAATTCCAGGAGTACCAGGAGTCGACTATCCTGTGTACCACAGTATACCTGAGACCCGATTTTCGTGTCACAATGTTCCTGCCGTTCCAGGAATTTACGCTAATATAGAGACAGGCTGTCAGGTATTTTTATGATGAAATATGTTTCATTTCAAACATCTTAAACGAAAGCTTTAAATAAATCGGAAATAATAAAAAGGTTGAAAACTGATTAATGCAATCTCATGAAACGTTTTTTCCTCTTTACTGCGACAATCAAAGAGAAACTACAGAGAAAATGCTTTCTTTTCTGGTATACAAGACAATCCTGTTTAATAGAAATTAGAAAATGATTGTGTCTGGGTGACTTGCTTTATAATGTTATTTAACATAAAATAGCAACGTTTTTGAAATTTTCAAAACCGTAAATTATCTTTGAAATAGATTTTTGGTTTTAGAAATGCTAATTTTGATTACCTTTTAGGCTTATCACGTTTGCCATGATGGTAGAGAAGGAAGTAAAGGTGCTTCATTTCTTTGTACAAACGGAACAATATTTAATCAAGCAGAATTTACATGCGATTGGTGGTACAACGTCAAATGTCATGATTCTCCTGCCTTATACAGGTGACTACTATTTTTATAAATTATATTATTCTAGGTACATTAAAAACCGCAAATATATTTTAACTTTTCAGATTAAACTTGGNCCTGCACCGTCTCCTAGTTATGGAGCTCCTGCACCGTCTCCTAGTTACGGAGCTCCTCCATCTTCTAATTACGGAGCGCCCAAACCAGGCCCTACTGCTGCTTATGGAGCACCTGCGCCTGCCCCTAGTTACGGGGCACCTGCACCATCTCCTGGTTATAGTGCACCTGCGCCATCCTCGAGCTACGGAGCTCCCCCTTCTCCATCATCATCTTCCAACTATAAAGCACCCGCAGCAGCTGCTCCTGTATCTAATTATGGAGCGCCCCCTATCTCTTCAAGTTACGGTGCTCCCTCTTCTGGATATGGTGCACCACCACCCTCATTTTATGGCGCACCTTCCGCTTCTTCCAGATATGAAATTTCAGCACCCTTATCAAGCTACGACTTATTTTCCCCAGGGAAACCGAGCAGCTATGATGTTCCTTATTTTAGTTCTGAATTTTCTCCAAAACCGTTATCGTTCGAACCACCAGCTACTAATTATGGTGTTCCTGGGGTTGTAAATGATATTTTCTCTTCAAAAACTTATGATTCTGTTACCGACACTTATTCCGCACCCAGTAAAATATCAATAAGAAAAATTCGCAGTAAAGACCTGACAGACTCAGAAAAGACACTCATCGTGGATGAAAAGAGAAACAGAATTCGAACGCTTATCAACATAGAATAGTTTTAAATGTTCTGATTTTAGTATTTTGTTTAAGCGTTGTAGGCATAGGTATTTGTTCATTTAAATAAAAAATATATTTTGATTGTTATAGTTACAACAAAAACATCGCAAATGTGTCAAAACGAAACGGTTCTATGTACTTACGTTATGGAGAACGCCGCCAATATCTTGAATCTAAAGAAAATCGAAAAGAAGGAAACAAAAACTTTTAGTACTTAACGGGTATATTTTCTTCACAGAAAATATATAATTCTAAATCAGTTTACAAGTACAAGTATTTACAACTTAAATTACTATTCTTATGTGGAATGTTTATACTACTTAGTAGAAGTGTTTGTACATTTCTATGCGATCAAAACTGTGAAAAAATACAAAGTCCGCAAGATACATTTTATTAGGGTGAATTTAATTAATACGTTTGTTCAGACTTAGTACTAAACATTTTACAGTTCTTTATATCTGCTACAAATTCTAGGCCGAAATATTGACATTCGTGTGTAAAACACCCATAAAACATCAGACTCGTACAGTAAATATAATGAAATTAATAAATCTTGATAAAAGAAACAGCTCACAGCCAAAATTTATTAAATGGAAGAAAAAAGAAAATGAAAAACTTTGTACAAGACAATACTTTTTAGCTAAGCGTTAAAAATACCATTTTAAAAATAAAACTCTGCAAATATTTCATATAATTTGATTTTTATAGAGATGTATTATTTATCTTAGTCTACAAAAATCACATAACACATTGGACGATTATTAACTTTGTCAGTATTAGGTATTAATGAAATTATAGCAACATTCATATGAATATATGCAAAGATTTTGAGCATTTTAAACAAATTATTAAGAAGAAAACTAAAAAAAATACATCAGCTTATTTTTCGTTGTGGTATAATTCATTTACTGAAAGTACCAGTGGTTTTCTTTTCTTTTGAGCGATTGAACTTAAAACGGTACAAGAGTAATCCATTGTAGATATCAAAGAAAGTTGTGTGGGAGACATAATTGCTTCAATATACTTACTTCCTTTATGCTGGTGCATCTTCTTTTTTCAGTGTAGTTTTCACTTAGTTCGCGGTGCTTTCAGTCGGATGTGCTTAATCTAAAAAGTATATTCATTTTCGCGAACTCTACACAGTAGAATGGGTTTCCCAAGGATTTTAGTACCGCTTATTTTGGTAATTACTTTTACTTTATTAAAACTTTACGGTAAACTAGTAAATGCAATTGTTTATATAATTCTTCGGCAGTTTTAATCCGAAATAAAACGTTATCTAAACTGTCGACAAAATAAAAAATCTTTTTTTTGTAGATTGCATCGTTTTTGGTGGTATTCTCGCAGTCAACAGAAATAACCATTAAGGATTATAGAGTAAAAAGAGACGCGCCAGTCTTCAAAAAAATTAAAGTGATTAAAATTATAAAGAAAAGTAAAAAGCCCGTCTACGGTCCACCTAAGCCAAAATACGGACCCCCAAAGCCTTCGTATGGTCCACCAAAACCTGTTTATGGTCCTCCAAAACCAGTATATGGTCCTCCGAAGCCGGTTTATGGACCACCACCATCATCGTCTTATGGTCCTCCATTGACATCATACGGTCCTCCTTCTCCATCGTACGGACCACCTGCTTCTACTTACGACTCCCCGTCATCAACTTATGGAGCACCACCACCAGAGCCCAGTTATGGAGCTCCTGAACCTTCATCCGGCTATGGGGCTCCAGAACCTTTGTCGGATTATGGAGCACCAGAAACATCATCTGATTATGGCGCACCTGTACCAATAATAACGTACGAAACACCAGCTCCTTCAGCTGGTTATGGAGCTCCTGCACCGTCGGCTAGTTATGGAGCTCCTGCGCCCTCTCCTAGTTATGGAGCTCCTGCCCCTTCTCCTAGTTATGGAGCTCCTGCACCGTCTCCTAGTTATGGAGCTCCTGCACCGTCTCCTAGTTATGGAGCTCCTGCGCCCTCTCCTAGTTATGGAGCTCCTGCACCGTCNTTAGTACAGAAACACAAAAATGTTATCTTTCCAAGATAAAAATCAAATGGTACATCATTCTTATCACAATTAGCCTCATTTAGCACTTATAGCCAATAATCTACGATTGTGATTGTATTGATATTTATTAAGGTTTAGTTTTTTTCTGTCGAATTTCGTGAAGGCACTAAAAATGCGTTCACTTTTAAAGCCAAAATCATTAACCAATCAAAATTAATAACAATGTCAACTGCGTTAAAAAAAAAATAATCTAGGGACATGCGACAGTAATTAGCTTAAAACGATTCTAGTCATTAACAATTAAAGGCTACTGGTCCTTTTCAAAAACACAGGTACAACCGCTAATATAATAAATTCACTTAACTTTTTTCACCATCGACTTCTCGCTTAAATGTAAGTCTTTTTGATTTTTTGAAGTGTCCCATCACTGGCTATATTTAAATCTTTGTTCGTTTCTAAGTTATCTTTTTTAAGAGGTTGAGAATTTTGTGGTCCATTCACTACTAAGTTTACCGTTTTATTTGCTTTCGGGGCCAAAAAACTATTCGGGGGATTGCTCAGTCTGAAAATTGAAAAGTATTTTTCAAAGCATGTTCAACAGTTCGCCGTTTTAACTTTAATCAACTTACCTTTCTAAATGGTTGTGCTGTTCGATGAATGGTGCTTCTGGATACTGCGGTTGGTGGTGAAATTTCTTCGAGAATATATAACCACCGATAAAACCCAAGAACAAACTTACTAATGAAGAACCAATGATGACTATGTGCAGCCTTTGTCGAACTGTACAACCACTAATACTTTTATCAGCCAATACGTCTTCATAATCATGATCACGCTCTTTACTGTTCGTGAACACCGAATTCCGACCGTCTTTGTAGTCATCAATTATTTCATTCTTTATGTTATCATCTTCGGACTCCTTTTCTTCAGACAATTTTTCGTCTTAAATTAAACATTCGTTGAAAAAAAAGAACCACGACCGTTAAGAAAATAAATAATAACTATGTAAATACCTGTTGGTGCCCAACATCTTCGGTCCATTCCGCGCATGATGTTTTGGATTAAGTAGCTTCTTCTATTATTATTTGAAGTGCCTTCTACAGTTACGCATTGGAATTTTTTGGTATCCCACGCGCAATGAGGATCCTGCAGCTCCACGCATTTTCTGTATGAAAAAATTTAATAAGTAAATTACGAACGTTTTGGACCTAACGCAACGATGTTCCTACCTGCAATCTGTTACTTTTGAACAATGATTTAGATTCACTAATCGAACTTGGTCTTTGGTAACAGCTATTACATTTCCATATCCTGGGGCAGTTTTTATCTGTTTTACAGGAGATCCGTTTGAAAAAACCGTATTTTCGGAAATGACGACTCCTTTGAACGAGTCAGCGTGATGTACATTGACTACCTTCAGGATTCTTCCATCGTCTAAACAAACGAATGATGATTATAATTGATTAATAATAGAATATCAAGTAAGGGGGACTTACCTGTCCCAATGTAGAGAATATCAAAAGTTTCGTCGTTTACTGTGTGGACCTGAGCGTCAACATTTATTGCTGTAAAACGATACTGAAGACTGACTCTAATCAACAAAGGTTTTCCGTGGATAGCAGGAACGGCAGATTCCATCAATGAATGAGTTCTGGCAAACATTGCCACATTTCCTGGTAACTGTCTGCTATCGTTAACGCATTGCCCTGGTCTTGGTAATGGAACCTGTGTTTAGAATTAAAAGAAGAACATGAAGCGATAACGTTTTATGTATCGCAAAATGGGCAAATAGAACATTGAAATTTAATATTCAACATACCCTACTCTCGGGTATGGGAAGCCAGTTGGAGTTTAATTTTTCTTGGTCTTTAAAGCTTCCCTCGAAAGCAGCCATTATGTCTCGCATGTTGTAGGCACATATAGCCGACCCTCCGATTGCATTGCTAGGGGTCGTAAATACTCCATAAATAATGGAACTTTCAGAGCTTTTCCCATATTTGCCCGACACCACGTCGCTGGCAGACTCTATATCGAAATAAAAAAAAAAAACGTTAAACGAGCAATATAGACGGCATTGCGTCTATTTTACTTACGAATTTCGTCGAAATAGAATGGATATTCGCCGGGTACCGAGCAGTTCATGCGAGCTTTCAAAAAAGACGTCCACTTTTCACGAAATTGACGAGGACCGGGACCGCCCTTGTCGTTTTCACAAACCCGAGCAACTCTTGAATACCGAATCTGCAATTCACAATGCATTGAAAGTAATTCTTTTGTCCCTTTTATTCGTGTCTTACCTTTCCACAATTGATGTATTCCACGGCGGTTTCCCGAAAGAAGAAAAATACGAAGTTTTCGTAACTAATCGAACTAATAAAATCGGGGGCTAAAAATTTACGTAAACATTAAAAACAGTTGCACAAAAAAAAAACACGTTATCTTTTTCATTACCATTAAGTTGTTTGAGATCAGAAGTTTCGGTACGCTGCGGTTCCCTATAAATCAAGGGATCGGCTGCAGAAAAATCAGCTACTGTTGCAGTGTACAAGTGGCCTTTACTAAAAATAGCCGTACTATTGTCATTAGGATCGAAAGGACATTTTCCTTTTCCATCGATTTCATTCCTCACCATGAAAACTCCATTCTGCAAAACATTCAAAAATGAAACAGCTGAAGAAAAATGATTTTTACGGAGATGTATCTTAACTTACGTTATGTTTGTAATGCCTACAAAGAGGCTTATAGGAATTAGTGCCACAAATAAGCGTGACGCCATTGTCTACTTGAAACCATATTCTGATATAATTTTGGCAGTCATCATCTGTTTTTCCTTTTAAAATACACAACTGAGAATCTGCCTCTGATGAATGCCATACTATCCGTCGACTTTTCCTCTCCGATAAGTCGTAAATACTTAAGTTGTAGATGGCATTTCGTCCACCGATCAATACCGAATCATTATCGATGTTAAGTATTGTAAAATGATTTGGCCGCGAATAGTTTCCAGCAAATTGAATACTATTGACTTGTCCTATCTCGTTAACGATTTTTGATGATGAATCGGGTAACCACGCATGGCAGACAGTGAAAAATCCAATTAATTCGTGTAACACCAAAAACACTAGAACTGCCTCATATTTGCATGTAAAAATACAACTCCTTGAAACAGGCATGACGAGCCCATCCGCTCATAAATCTTTACGAATGATATTCATTATTTCTTACGGTTGGTTAACTTTAGTCCTTTTTAGATCTCAATCTGTAACACAAAAATTAAATTTAATACTTAATTTCTTACAAAGCATTCTGTAATTAAAAGTCGTCCCGTTTTACACGTTTAATTTCTTCTTATCGTAATTATTGCTTTATAAATTTCAAGTGTACATTGCAAAGTTCCAAACGATTTGTTAGCACATTGAACTTAATTATCTTATCGATGCAATAATTTTATTTTAATGTGAATAACATTTTTCAGAGGACAATAAATTTCTTGCTTTATTTCTATCTACGACGCATTAAACTACACGTTCTAATGTCAAAGGTTACCTATTCTAAGCAAAGCTTAGTATTTTAAAAAGGAAAATCCAACATTAATACAGAATTCCCACTAATTCTAAAAACACAGATCATTAAAACATTAACGCTAACGAAGTCATCTAAATGATACAAGTTTAGTTTTAATATTCAAATAAGTAGTCGTTATACGTAGGTAGATACGTACATAATAAATATAATTTTATTTGAAGAAATTTGAATAAAAATTTATGGGACCATGTAAAACTGAGTTCCATGTTACATTGCTCGTACTTTATGTAATCCAAGGTGTACCAAAGGTTCAAAAATAATTGTACAACTGTTAGTAATGTTATGATTCATTTTACAAACATTATAGTGACGGAAGTTGTAGATGACTTGTTGCGAGATATTGTATATTTTTATTACAATTAAAGGGTCAAGGCCTCATAAAATGTTGTAACATATTGATAAAGAATTATGCCAAAGATGAGCCGCAACTATGCATAAAAGCGAAGAAACACGTCGTTGGATTCAAAAACAATTACTGACCTTGGTGTCTCATTCCTTATGTGTAAAATTATTTAACACAACACGAAGACGTGTTATTATATTGTTAATTTTATGCATATACGAACACATTACGAGTATTGACACACGTCATGTAAGTTTTGTACCTAGAGTCTGACGAAGACAAAATTGGAACCAATTCTATTTCCATTATTGGATTCGCTAAATGTAAAGTTTTATCTTTAGGCAAGGTATTGATACCTCACGATATCACAAATTAAATTAAAATTGCCGATTCCTACGTGAAGATGAAAATGATTGACAGTTACTCCTTCCAAAAATAATTTAAACCAAGTTTTCTAAAGTGAGCGATTTGAAAATTGATAATATTAATTAACGATTGATTGTTGCCCATAGCTTTTTGTAAACCTCAAGAATAGTTAGGTACCTACATCAAAGTTGATTAAAACTGATGTAAAAAGTTTTATACGCTCGGGTTAATAAATTTAGTAATGGTTTATAGCTGATTCTGAACACATCAGGTAGGTACATTTAATATGTTCGGTAGACATACAGTCACATAAATGTAAGTCACGTTACCATTGTTAAATTCAGACACACCTTATTTATATAAAAGTTGAAGCGCGTGTTGGTACTGCTATGTTAACAGAATATTTGATTATTAAAACAGCGTACAAGACACGACATTATTGTATTTGCTCCAAATCGAAATTGCTACTGTTAATTAACACTCTTTTACGATTAGTAATTACGATAGGTAATCATGTCGTTTGTATTTCTGTTTCTTTTCATAGAAAATGCCTTTAAACTTTCTAATAACAATGATAATTATCAGCAAGGATTTTTTTACTTTAATTGCTGTTTTATTTTATTTATTTACTAACACAAAAGGAATGTAAAAAGTAAATCCATAAAAGACCTTTTTAAATCACCAAAACTTATTAGGTCACCTCATCCTTTGTGCGTTTGTAAATAAATATCTAATATAAAACTAAAAAGTTAAAATATTGCTATTGTCCTGCTATTACTATTATTTCCTGTTATTTGTTAGGTGTAGGCAAATAGAACAGGAGACTTGCGCTAGTATAATAGGTACTTGTCATGAAGTGGATAATTCTGCCCGATAGTAATAACTCGCTGAAGACGAAGTTGTAATTAATGTTTCCTTTTTGAGGACAACGAACGTGTATATTGTAAACAATATTTAAAGGTACTCAACTTAAATACATATAAATATAACAGATGGTTAATATAACTGTTTCTTCATCTTCTACTTCTTATAGACTCATAGAAATCAAAACGATAAATAACAAAGATTATTAATTATAACTGTACATTACAAGAAGAGTATCTGCTCTGCAATTTTTAAATTGAACCATTAGACTGCATAGTGTATATTTTAATAATTACAAAATACACCCAAAAGCTAAAAATATATCCAGAGGCTTCAACAGGATTCCATAAAGCTTTTGACGTCATCGATCAAAAGCAGCAAGAATTTCACATAATAGTAATGATAGCGTGTGTTATTTAAAACCACTCCATATTCATTTCATCGTATCGAGAAAGAGTGGTGAAATTGGGGGTGCATGGAAACATGTTCCCAGTTCTCACATCTGTCATGGTGTTACGTCCCGACCATGATTTATATGGGTTTAAAAATATACCTACCAATATTACTCGTTGACTAGCCTAGTTTTGCTAAACCACTTCAGCACACCATTAATGAAATATTTAAAACGAAACACTTTTAAACACAGATGTTTGCTATTATAAGCGAAAGATGATGGTATTACGCAGATGATCTGGTAGAGCAATTTTCTTTTGGTTTTTAAACAAACAACACTAAGATACAGGGTGGATGAACGAGCGATATCGCAATTAAAGAATGTCCTGCATTTTCTTGTTAATTAGAGGCAGCTTATGAATCCTTAAGAAGGAAGTATGCTCCATAAAGTGTAATTAAGAATTTACAAGAATGTGTAATGGGAAAGTAGAAGTTCATGGGCAATAATCGGAAATAACACTCTTTATTTATTTCATAGTTTCATTTGGACACAGTATATCTATAGTTACATACGTTTTATACGTCGTTTAAAGTCAAACCTGCTATCTACATGACTATATCCCACCTTATTACCGATTTGGTCATCTGCAGTTTTTCAGAGCACAAAAGAAGGCTGAAATTGCTTCCTTTGATGTCAGCTGCGAACTGGTTTATTTATAGGTGGTGGTCGTTGTTAGCAGAGCAAGTTTGAAATTACCTCTTTTTATTTTGGCCTCCATGCAGAGGCCTAGTAGTAAACACTTGAAGAAGTTATACGCAGTATCTGATAACAACGTTGCGCTCATTTTTCTTCTCCTGCTCTAGAATGTCCTTACCTCTTCCATACCTAGTTAAAATCTTACCAACGAATAAGCACGTGAAAAAATCTTCATACATTCCGTAAAAGGAAATACAAAATAACGCCAAACGAGATAAACCAATTATTTCTGTTTTAAGTGGGCGAAGTCCGACCAAAAAGACGAATTAATAGAATCCTTTCCCTAAATATTTGTGAATTGCAAAAGAACAAGGAACTTTGGCACAACAATATGATAAAGAAATATAGTAGCAATAAAGATAGAATTTATTTAATATTTATTTGTATTTAATATAATTAGACATGCGATAATTATTTAACCACTTTATTTCGCAATACCATCATAAGATTTAAATTAATAGAAGTAACAACGCCTCTGATTCGGTTTTCTAATGCTAATCACTACCGCCAAATATTTTGCCGAACAAAACATGCAGCGGGGCTTAGCCTTGTTGCAACTTTCACTTCATACATTTAAACATTTAAAGCAACTTGCAACAAACAAATCGTGTGTAGTGTAATGTACGAGGGTGGATTGATAAGTTTCCGGCCTAACCAAGAGATGACGCCACTAGGCCTACCTTGAGGTGACATTCTATAGTACCATCCTTGGATAGCTTGTAGCTATAGTTTCAGCCCGATCTCCTTGCTAGTGTAGGTTTGACAGCACGCTGAACAAGACGCCTCTGTGGTTTTCGTAAAAATGGAAAAGCAGGAAAATCGTGCTGTCATCAAATACTTTTATTTGAAGGGGTTAACGCCGAAGGAAATCAAAAAAGAGATGGACTCAACACTGGGGACATCCTCCCCGTCATATTCAACCGTTAAGCAGTGGGTTTCCGAGTTTAAAAAGGGTCGTGTGAGCACCTCTGATGGGCCTCGCTCAGGACGCCCCGTTGAGGTCACAACTCCAGATATGATCGAAAAAATTCATCAAATAGTGCTGGGAGACCGCAGATTGAAAGTGCGTGAGATAGCTGAGACCTGTAAGATGTCATATGAACGTGTGCAACATATTTTGCACCAACATTTGCATATGGAAAAGCTCTGTGCAAGATGGGTGCCGCGTTTGCTAACAGTCGACCAAAAATTGATTCGAAAAAACATTTCTACCGCAAATTTGTCATTGTATAAGCGTAATCCAAGCGAATTTTTGCGTCGATTCGTAACCGTTGACGAAACGTGGGTCCACCACTACACTCCTGAAACCAAAGAACAGTCTAAACAGTGGATTGGACCAGGGGAACCAACTCCAAAGAAGGCAAAAACAATTTTTTCGGCGAACAAGGTTATGGCTACTGTTTTTTGGGATGCAAGAGGTATTATATACATTGATTACCTTGCAAAGGGTAATACTATCACTGGTCAATACTACGCAGACTTATTGCAACGTTTGAGCCACGAGGTGAAAATTAAACGACCTCATCTGGCGAAGAAAAAAATCTTGTTTCATCACGATAACGCACCAGCGCACACGTCAATCGTTGCGACGGCTAAAATCAACGATCTAAAGTTTGAATTGATGCCGCACCCTCCTTACTCTCCAGACCTAGCCCCGAGTGACTATTTTCTGTTCCCTAATCTCAAAAAATGGCTTGGCGGTAAGAGATTTGCGGACAATGAAGAAGTAATCGAAGCTGTAAATGGTTATTTTGAGGAGCTTGACGAATCAGTCTATAGAGATGGCATTAATAGACTGGAACACCGCTATGAGAAATGTATCAGCCTTGGAGGAGATTATGTTGAGAAATAAAAAAAAAAAATTTTTAAAAACCTTGTTTTTCTTGGTCAGGCCGGAAACTTATCAATCCACCCTCGTAATGTAATGGTCGCCCCAAGTTAACAGAAGCCA